GCTGACTGTGAGAGCACGCGGAGCGGGAGAGAGGGAGAGAGGCAGAGGCAGAGGATGGGGAGAGAGGAAGGCTGGAGGACGGGGGCAGGTGCCGTCCCGGCCTGCTCCCTGTCTGTGCACGCTCTTTAGGAACAGAAACGGAGGCGGGCCCTGAGAGACGTTCTTGCCTGGTGGTAGGAGATGGGCGGATTGCCGTGGGAGGAGAAGACCGAGAAGAGCAGAGGGAGAACGAGTGAATGATGGGAGACGGAGCTGGATGAAGGAGGAGAGAGAGTGGGATAGCGAGGCGGTCTCCCCCCCCCCCACCTCATTAGAGACAACTTCACTCCTGACACAATGTCCTGCTGTTCTACACAGATGAACCTTAAATACTACCTTAAATCCACCAGTGACACATAAGGGGGATGAACACTTCTATCTCATCTCCATGCCTTTGGGAAAAGTCTCATTCCCACGACTGCCATCCCTCCCTTCTTCCATTCCGATGTTGCCAAGTCCAAACCCAGCAGGCGATCAGACTGAGCAGGACTCGGAAACTCTGCTAGACCTTGGTCGGCCCAGCACAGAGCAGAGCTCGTGTCTGAGGTTCTGCTGGCACTGTCCTGTCGTAGCCTTCCGCACTGTTATTTCGGAGATCCTAGCAATCAAAGCTCTTCAACCAAACCCAATGAAAGACAACTGATCCTCTCAGGGAGTGGGTGAGAAATCAACCCTTAGTTTAGTGTCTTCCTTGATTTTTGGGGGCTGTGCAATCGGAACCCCACCCTGCGCCCCACATTTGTCTCAAACGATGAAGCATCTTGGACAATGATGATTTTGTACAATGTGCCGGTGTTCGAGAACTGATGGCAGACTGACCTCTTCTCTGAAATCTACCTGTCTGCTTCATCTCAAGCTGTCAACTTCAAAGTTCAAAAAAGCCAAGTTCCCCCAGCATTAGGGAGCTGTCCCAGCTGTCAATCATGACACTGCATGCTTGCAACTACAGCGGCCAAAGACAGGTGGCGCCAGTGTGCAACAGTGTGTCGGAACCACTGATCACTTTAGACTATGACCAGGAAATAAGAACACTGTACTGAAACTCTAGCTGCAAAAATACTCTGCTGAAATATTGTACCCCGAATAATATAGTCCACACCAGAATTATGGACAAGGCAGGGCATGTTTATAGGCAGCAGCTGTACCACCCTGCAGCTCACAACTGGCAGCCCACTGATGCTCAGCAGGTGTGAGTACCTGGAGGGGAGACCTCCTGGGAAAGCTCAGGTTGCTGCTGTGTGGGTCCTAATGCCCCAGTATAGTAAAAAAAAAGGCTCTGTTCTTCAGATGAGATATAAAACCGAGGTCCTGACTCTCTGTGGTCATTAAAAATCCCAGGGCGCTTCTCGAAAAGGGGGTGTTACCCCAGTGTCCTGGCTAAATTTCCCCCCTGGCATTTACCAATCATGGCCTCCTAATAACCCCCCCCTCTCTGAACTGGCTTCATCACTCTGCTCTCCTCCCCACTGAGAGCTGGTGGGTGGGGAGCATACTGGTGCACTGTGGCTACAAAGTGGGGGCTACACACTGGTAGTGGTGGAGGGGATCCCCATTACCTGTAAGCGCTTTGAGTGGAGTGTCCAGAAAAGCGCTACATAAGTGTAGGGATATTTTTATTAAAGACGAGCTGCCTTTTACCTGCAAGCATGGTGCACTTGCATATGGCCACAGCATCCTCCTCCTCATTATTGTTATAGAGTTGGACAGATAGTGGTGTACAAGCCCTGTTGGGGATGTATACAAGGTGATGCTGCCTATGAAAGTCCATTGGAGACTCTGGGTGTTCTGGACCAGCCCGGCGGAGGTTGTCGGATTCCAGTTCCACCACTCTCAGCTGCATTCACAGGCAGAGCTGAAACGAGCAGGAGCAGAGAGGCAGTGATAATCTAGGTCACCACCTTGCTCCGTTTCAGATGGTGAATTATGTCAGCACCAGAGCTGGGCACGCTGCGAATATTCTGCCGTCCCAATAGGGGAGGCAAGAGCTTTTATTTTTAAATCGTCCTTGGAGCACGTCGCGAGACCACGGCAGAGGGAGAGAGGAAGATGAGCAAGTGTGAGCTGTGATCGCCAAGCCCGACTCCTGTGACATAGCAGACGCGGAGAGGTACAGCGATGGCTCTTCCTTCCTGGGGACAGGCTCTTTCAGCTGAGCGTGCCCGGGTGGCCGTTCAGTCCCTGATCAATCCCACTGTTCTGCTCCCCACTTTTCTGAAAGATCCCTGGGAAGCAATTGCAACAGGAGGACAGTTTCGTTCATTCGGGACACCCTCGGCTCTCTCTGTGGAGAGTACTAGGGTTCTACAATTAAAACCGGGGTTTAAACCGGGGTTCTTGCAAAATGCAGTCACCTTTTTATCCTTTTTGCATTGTAAGCGCAGCTGTAGACCACCAGCTTATTACATATGTTTCTATAGTGAAGGGTCAGCTACATATGTCTCTATAGTGAAGGGTCAGCTACATCTGCAGCGCATTTACAGTTCATCAGGAAAGGTCTCAGATCTCTCAGAAATCCAAACACTTTCACCGTGATCACGATGTTGAATTAAGTAAATTAGGGACAGTTCAATACAAGGACCAGTTCCCTTAAAGGACCATATGACTCCCTTTGTTAGGGTGAGATTCAAGGTCTACTCCACGTAGGCATTTTTTTTAAGTACTTCTTTGCCCCTGTTTTTTCGGAAAGAGGAAAAACTGGGAGGCCTTGGACCTAAAAACTAAAAATGACGTGAAATGGAACAGGGGGTCCCCCAGACAACAGGACCTATTTTCAGCTGAGGCAACCCGGATCACCTCACACTTCATTGATCATTAAGGGTTCCTCATCTTCTGTCATTTGCAATGTAGTGTGAGCCATAAGAGCAGCTGTGTAGAGTCTCTCCAGGATGAAGGACACCCGTGCACTTTGGTAGAGAGCAACGGCCAAGCTCATCACAGGACTGCACATCATGGGCAAGAGGACCAGCTGGGAGATTCGCTGTGCTCTGGAGCTGGGGACGTGCCTGTACAGGACTCAGAGTCTTTGTTTCCTTAAAGAGAACTCAAAGCCCAAGGAGGACCCAGATCCTGAACAGCAGGTTAGAGCTGATCCTTTCAGAAGCATTCCGGGTCCGTGGAGGATATCTCCGTACAGCACAGAAAAAAAAAAACAGTCTAGTCCTCAGGAAGTCTTCCTCCAGATGCGCGAAGCTCTGTTCTACAGATCTGGTTAAAGCTGACGCTCAGGGGCTTGTGGTGATGGAGGAATCTGGCCTGGCTTGAGTGAATCTTGAACAGACACCTCAGGAGCAGCTGAAAGAACGGGGATGGTAATAACACATTGGCATGGCTGAACGCAGATTACTGAAGTCTGTGTACCAACGTGTGTGTCTTCTCCCAGTGTTCTCTGGAAATGGCCGTTTTCAGCACAGATTAAACTCATCTCAAACCTTCACCGGACTGCGTGACAACTCCTCGCGTCCCTGTTGAGGGGAATTTAGCAAGAAACCCAAAGTGAAGGGCCACGTCCGGAGAAAAGCGACAGGGTCTTCGCATGGAATGCCTCATGAGACAGGGACGCGATATTCCCAGCCCTGTAGCCCAGGGGCACTGGAAGATTCGGTTACTGGCGTTTCCCAGAATTCCCTCAGCGCCCCCCTGACGCAACGCAGGTGCTCCTCGCCTCAGCCAGAGAGGTGTCTCCTGGCCGGTCATCACGAGGAAACGAGTGGATGGCAAAATGTTTACGCAGCTTTTCTTAGTACCTAAAGTGCAACGTGTATTGCACAGTAGGTAAAAGTGGTATTTGTCCTTGCTCTCTCATTGCGCTCACAATTCTAGGTCCAGAGAGAGAGAAAGGGTTGAGAGAGAAAGTTATATAATGTTTTTTTGTCTTTTTTTTTTAGGAATGAAGCCATCAGATTCGGCACAGTTCCTGAGAACAGAACACCTGGCCCCTTTTAGATTGAGCCTGTGCTTTAGGGAATGCACCTGACCTAGCTGAGGGCTGAGAGAGAGCGAGAGAGAGACAGAGAGGCGGACGAGAATGAATCAAGTTGAATAGAAAGCAAAGGAGGAATGGAGACAAACTCAGGGGGTAAAGGCATCTAGTCTATCTCTCTACATCCTGCTCATGAGCCCCCGTGAGGTCCAGACAGCTGTCTAGTAACATTGACTAAATACACCAAGTAGAAGTCTTCTCATTTAGCTTCTGTGTTGTAGCATTGTGAAACAGTCAGAGCTCATTACAATGTGCCTTCCCATAATTGCTGGCTCCTACATGACAAGTATCCCAGAAAGCTCTTCCATGAATGATGCCTAACCTGGAACTAGTGTTGTGCTACATGGCCTCAGAGAAGAAGGAGGTGCTGGAGGAAAATGAATGGGACAGATATCGATGTGACTTGGGTCTCAGGTCTCAGGACTCAGGTCAGTAAACCTGAGCTTTTTTCTACACGGCAGACTAATGTATGAAAGTGTTTCAGTGTAAGCAGTAGTCTGCCAGCGCCTAGACTCAGGTGTGTATGTACTGATCATGCAATCACAAGCTTTTAATAGTGAGCCAGGTGTGCACTGATGAAGGAGAGGCTAAGCTGAAAGCAGTGGTTCCGACTAGCTGATACACTCTTTGCAATCACTCTAATGAATACCATAAAGACCTGCGTGGAAAATCACAATACTCCAGATAATTTTCTTTCTCCAGTCACATATACTCCTGCATATTACACAGAGATTCTTGATTGGGTGCAAATCAGAAAATTGTAGGGTTACAAAGAGAGACTTCTGTGTACCTCTGCTGCCTGGGGGTAAAATGAAGCACAAAAGTAAGGCAAGCCTCGGGTCTAATGGACCTGAGTACATATTTTAAACATAGATATCAAATAAAATCACAGAACATGGCAGCAAAAATACAGATCAAAGACACTGATGTGTTTCCAGAATGAAGTGTGGCAGGCTGCCGGAATGAAAACATTACTCAAGTCGGTGACGGGTTTTGTTCTCCCTGAGCACTAACACGATCACGACAGCACTGACACACGCACCCGATCAGCCTCTGGACAGACTGCTGTGGGGTGCTCCTCCGCTCCTCCGCTCCACTGCGGCCCGTGAGAGGGTGGCGGGCTGTTCCCAGTGAACCCTGCACCACGCGGTGCCATCACACGCTGCTGGCCTGCAGGGCCTGTGAAGGACAGAACGACACTCGTCGATCAGTACAGCACTGCGCCATCGCAGATGCTCTCTGGCTAAGAGCCAGCGGCGACTTCACCTCTCGTCCACCAGCTTGCTGTCCCAGAACGGGCTCTGCAATGGCAGATGCACAGGCTATTTCTTCCTTGTGCATTGGCACAATGACTCAGAGATACTATAGGTGTGGGGAAAGACCCTTAGCCTTCCTGGACCTGCCCTGTCCCTCACAGCACCTCTGAGCTCTGCTGATCGCTGAAACAGAGCCTCTCGTTCTCCGAGACACTCCTCTCGCAGGCAGACCAGCTTGCCCGTGGTGACCACCTTCATTACCCAAGTGGGGGCACAGTGTTGCTTTTGGCCTTCTTTATTTCCTCTAAAAGTTAACACACCTAGGTGGACTTCCAACAGATATGGCTACATGCTGGGATGGAGTTGTTCAAATAGAGATAAACCTTTAGTAAAGACTATACCTTATAAAGGTTGCTGGATACCTTACTGGCACAGAGCCATAAGCACAAATATTGTTCTGCAGAGCCAAGGAACAAGACCCAGGGTCAGAAACTTCACTGCAAAAGGTAGCAGGGGAGTGCATTCCATACGTTTTTAAGGGAACGCCACTGGGACTGCAGTGTAGCTGGAAAACTGGGAAGAGAACAGGCACGCCAGGGGCAAACAGCAGCTGTGCCTTATATCCCCAGTGACTGAAGCATGATGCACCCCTGTTAGGAGTTCCATGGGAATGTCCATTGACACACACGGACTCAGCCAAGTAGCCAGTTCAGACTCCTTGAGGTACCAGCAGTCGAGGTGACTTACAGACAAGCTCAGAGGGATCAGGAGGGTCCAATCAGGAGAGCTACAAGGCTCCTGCCAGGGACTGTGGGAAAAAAAAAAACTAACACGCTGGCCAAAGCTATCAGAGTATTTGCTCAATTCCTAAATCTTCTGTAATCTGGCTAATGGTGCCCCAAATCTGTTTGTAGGACTAATTCAGTAAACAGTTCAGACCAACAGCAAATGGTATCTGTTCCAGGATCCTTTATCATTCTGACTGAGAGGTTTAGATAGCTTGGTGGTGATGAATTTCTCTGAGATGCCCTGGCAAGACCAGGAGTTAGACACCGACGTGTGCGGTTTTGGAAAAGCAAATAAAGGCTGTTGTGTTAAAACGAGATATTGCTGCTCTCGAATCAAATAAGAAAAGGCCACAAGGTTAATACACTTACAGGTCACAGGTTACAGGATGTACAGGTCAAAGGAAGTTCATCTCTTCAGTGATTATTAACAGAGACTACAAGAATATACAAGAGATCAATTCAAAATCCTGAAATGTTTTGACAAAAGCTTAGTCCAGGCTTCCTAAATCTGGTCCAGTAATGAAACAAGGATGGTGGGTGTTTGGAACAAGGTAATGTTATTGAAGCCTTGAGATTCTTCAAGAAATGACAGCAGGAGCTCTTTGATCTGTAGGCTGCCTGTCACGAAGCGTTTCTCAGGACCCCGTGCAGACAGAAGAATCCGGAAGGGAGTGAAACAAACACGGGGAATGAAGACTAGGGTTGGGGCGGGTAGAGGAGCAGGGGGGCGTGTCTCGACTGTCGCTGGTGCTCGGGGGGGCGGGGGGGTGGTCCATGCGATCATCCAGAGGGAGTCCGTAGGGAGATCCAGAGAAAGCAAAAGTCCAGAGCCTGGTA